ATTCAATAACCAAATTAAATACAGCTTTTTTCAAAAACTCAGATAAAACAGAAGCTAGAGGACACAGTAAAGACATAATAGGACATGCGGTGACAAATATAAAAAATAGACATTTGTTTCTTCTTCTGTACATACATACATGGACACATATAAATATATAGAGAAGTAAAAAAGGGTGTATTTTAAAATATAAAGGTCAAATTTTACAGTTACATTCCATAATAACAAAACATGAGACATGGCACGATATTCAAGTGAGTTTGTCTTTTTCCACAGACGCTGTACAATATTGTATACTTACATCAGATCACACCTCGGTTGTTTTTTCTCCAAGTCTGTTCACGCCATTGTAAACATTACAAATGAAGAAAATGATACATCTTTTTGTTGATGGATTTTCAGTTTGAAAACACTCAGACTGTAATAACAGCTACACAATCTGCTCTTCGAGCTCCTGCTTTGATGCCTTTAAGTAGCGTCACATTTTCAGTGCTGCATTTTTTTTTTTATCTTGTCTCTGTGAGTCCCTCAGCACTGAGTGGCAAACAGGAAATTTGGTCAAATAAACAAGACAAGCTTTACAGTATAAAAAAGACCCCATCAAGATACAGTTTTAGGTTGGCACAAACAACAAGAATGCACCAGAATGTGTTGAAAAGTTCCTCCACAGAAGTGAACACACTTTACGTCCCATCCTAGTTCTGTCTGACGTCCTGCAGCAGTTTGTTGATCTCATGAGCGAGTTCACTCGTGTCTATGCCGGGCTCATGGCGACTCTCGCTGCGTTTCCCACTCTGGTGACCCTGATGGAAGACACCATCGAAATCGTCTTCCTCGTAATTTTCTGGGATTTCTTCCATGGCTGGGAGCCATTTCAGGTGAGGTGGCTGTCCATTGGTGGAGTTGGGTGTGGAGGTCGATGATGAGGGCGTAGAGGAGGAGGAAACATGGTTGGTCCCCACAGACCCACTTGCTGGATTTAGATAATGGGTACTGGCAGCCCAGGCAGCAACACCTGGGGGGTAAGCAGGACCTTTACCACCTGGCAACAAACCTCGCCGGCTGTCCTGAGGAATGGCGTTGTTACTATGGTTACCAGCAACATTACCACCACGACTGCTTCCTCTCTCAGTAGCTGATGAAGATGATGGTGGGCTTGTGTCAGTGCACTCAGTGTAGGAGTCCATGTTAGGGGGCAGGAGACGCTGGAACACAGAATTCATCTCTGTGAGAAGGGAACCGGCCCCACCCCCAGCGGCACACACATCGCCTCCATCTCCAGCACCCAGCTCTTCATTTCCTGACTCTTTGCCAAAAGTAGAAAAGCTCTTACGCTGCTCTGAGTCCACTGAGGACTGGTCATCTTCGAGCTGAGGTGGCTGCGAGGACTCCTCCCCAGGGATGTACATGTTGTTGCGGTAGTCAGCGGAGGAAGTGGGGGAGGGGATCGGAGGCATCCAGCACTGGTCAGAGTGTCCCAAGATGCGACATTCCTCTGTGCACAGTCTCATAGCTGGAGCCAAAACAAACAAACAAAAGAAAAAATATAAGAACAATAAATAAATCACAGTCAATCCAGACTTTGTGGAGAGTGCGTGGAAAGTTTGTGGCATTTGACATTTTGTGATTTGACTGCAAACTAACTCAGATAAAGATTATTTTTATGACGTCCAAATGAAGCCATGTATAAAAATATGACAAAGAAACAGAATGGATGCATGCACATTTGTCATATGCTCCCTCCCTATGACATACCATGCAGATGTTCACATCATAACTGACTGCTCTGTCAGATTTCTCCACAACCCCCATTAATAAGGCAAAGGTAGGGGTGCAATGTTAAGTAAGTTTATTATATACAGCATGAACAGCCGTATTTGTCCATCTAAAATGAAAACTGTAAACCAATTAAGTCTACTTATGAAAAAACAATGGTAATCCTGCCTGTCGGGCCATTATCTTTTACCCCTCCTTATTTTAAATATTAGGATGGAAGATAGAAGGAAACAGGAGGGAAAACAGTTGCAGCACCTCAGAGTGTTTCTCAAAGGAAGAGAAAAGTAGATAAAGACTGCCTGTGTCCACAATCCATCCCCTTATCCATCTCAATAAAGATTAGGAATATAATAATGAGTACAGAGGAATGGTGAGATGTGGAGGAGCGCTCAAACAAGCAGGAGAAAGCAAGAGAGAGGCAGAGTTGCTAAGAGAGGGAGAGAATAACATCATTCTAAAAGCAATTACTTTGAATTCTCCTCAGTTCAGACATGAAAGCACACCACTGTCACTCACCAGGGGGAGAAAAAAAAAAAAAAAGGAGTGAAGGGAGGGGAAAAAACAGCACCCTGAGACGCATACCGATGAGTGACAGGCGACTCAGCTTGGCTCCGGGGAGGATTTTACAGACACGACTCTATCTTAGGGGCAGATAACGCACAGACACAACCACACACGCACAAACAGCCGAGCACACTGTAACCTCTCTCCGTGTGATAACGAGCGTGGAAATGAGGGTTGTTGGAAGAATGGGGCTGAGTACAATGGAGATTGTGTCGGCAACAGGGTGAATTTAGTGGCTGTAAAGGCAGGTGTACAGACGAATAATAGGCTTAGGTTGGACACTGTCCATGGTGCTGAAATTTGTCAGGCAGGCATTACAGTGGAGAGCTGGGTGTGGTCTGCATGGGACACCACTCAGGTCACTTCTGGTTTGTTAAAATCCATTTAGTTTATATCATGAGTATTAAACCACATTCGAAAGCACAGATTGATTACTTTTTCCTGAACATACACAGTGTGATTTTACCCACAGTGTAGAGGTGATAATTGAACTGATGTGGATGGTGTCAGGACTGTGAGGCAACTGATTGGTGCCAAGTCATACTAAGAAAAGGTGTAATACAGAATAAAAAGAAAAGTGTTCCTGTTGCAAAGTGCAGCTGCAAAAAAAAAAAAAAAAAAAAACTGTGACATGGAAAAAAAAAAAAAAACGTACCTGGGTGGAGTCGATGATGCATTTCGAGGTGCATCAGGTCAGAAAAGCCCTCCCCCAGCAGCAGCCTGTCCACAGGGGATTCCCGTCCCATTTCACAATCACTGTCTCCTGCCTCACTGTCCCCACGACCACTGTCCTTCAGGCTGAACTTGTCCATGTCCTGCAATGCATACCTGCGTGCACAAAGAAAACTGTTTGTAAACATTGGAATGCCTTCGGAAAACTGATGATGCAACTTAACGTTGTTTTGTTTTTCACATGAAAAGCTGGATGAATCAGTCTGCCTGCTGAGGAGCCTAAATCCATCATATCAGGCTTGAGGCTGCATCTGCAAATCTGTCAAATCACTGGACGAGGCTCTGGACATAAATTCTACATGCAGGTGAATCCCATCTATAAATCTATCTCAGCAGCCAAAAGGGGCATGAATAAATCTATCACTTAGAGATCACAAGGAGATATTATGATGAAAGTTTTGATGGATGCAGACTTTACAACCTGAGCCTGATTTTGACAAGAAGTACTATGAAAACCGATGTGACAATAATTAAAAGAAGCATTGTATACACTGAATGGTATCAGAAATGATAACAAATTGTATATGAAACAAACAACAACAACCAAAAAAAAAAACATTTATACACCATCAAACAATGTAAAGGAGCAACTGACAGATAATCTTCACAACAGGTTGTTGGGACATGAAGTACATAATGAGAAACCAGTGGCTTTAAAAAGTATCTAAAAGACAATCTGTTTAGGGGGAGAGGGGCTGGGGGGATAGGGGTAAATTACCTGTAGCTGCGGGAGTATTTGTTGCCACGGAAACTGGGTCTGGGCTGGTACTGGCCCTGATGGAGCATGGACAGAAGCTGTGAGACTTGCTACATCCAAAAATGACAAACAAACAAAAAATAAAACAAACAAAAAGAAAGAGAAAAGGGAGGGATAACAAAAAAAAACGGAGGGGAGCCGGAGGGGGGGTGGGGGGGGAGAACAAAAGACAACAAAGAAGACAAAATAATAGATGAGTAAACACAAAATGGATGATGGAGAGGCTACTAAAATGGGTGAGACAAAATGGATGACATTTAAACAAAAAAAAAGGGGACATAAGATGAGACGAGCCTAGATGAATATGGAAACGTGACTGAGGCTCGAGTCGTGACGATAATGGAGGTTACAGTGACGGGGTGTAAACAAGGTAAAGACAAAGACATCTGTAATCATCAACAGTTTTAATGAGAGTCACTTTGATCTAAGGGGCAGTGTTGATTAAGTCACTGTCACATTTTGGAGACGAGATAATTTGCTCAACTCGAGGCAGCTGTGTGTGGAGGAGGAAGAGGCTGCTGTGTGTTAGTTTAAGACACTGACAGAGAGACTTTAGGGCTGATGCATGTGAAATCTCAAAGATGCTGCTCTGTGTGTGAGTGTGTATGTGTGTTCTCACCTCCACAGGTGGAGTTGCATGTGCCAGTTCCAGGGCAAAGCTCTCTGGGATGTGATTGGAGGAGATGGTCACGAGGCTGTTCAAGGATTGGCGGCTGTGTTGGTTCTGCCTGCTCCCGATCTGGGCTCGATCCATTGGAGGCGTGGCTGAGGGCGATCGGTGGTGAGCTCTGATAGGGAGGGTACCATTCACTGTGGGAACCAGCGTGATGTCGCCTTTGTGGATTTGCCGTGAAGGCTTCTTGGGGTGATGCTGGTGGGTGGATTCAGCCACCCGGCAGTTGTACGAGTGCCTGTTGTCCTTTTTCTCCCGCTTACAATGAGTGGCAAACACCACCATGATGACCAGGAGCACGGCACAGATGACACCCAGGGAGATGATGATAATCAGGGACACGTCTAGAGAAGACTCGCCCTGGTCCATTAGCTGCACGTGGTTCTCCATGTTTTCAGAAAGGGTGATTTTCAGGACGGCCTTGGCACTCAGGCTTTCACTTCCCTGATCTCTGACCACCACAGTGAGCTCAACGTGATCACGGGGGAAGTTCTCCAGACTAGCGTTGGCATGGATCTCACAAGTTCTTGGGTCAATAAGGAAGAATCCTTCCTCGTTGCCACTGACGATGGAGCATACGAGCTCAGCATTGACCCCTGTGTCCCGGTCACTTGCTCTGACAACTGTTACTATCTGTCCAGCCTCTGTGAACTTTGATGCAGGAACATCTGCTGTAAAATTCCACAACTGGGGCACCACGATGACTGGCGGGTTGTCATTTTCATCCAGAACAGTCAGAATAACTGTAGCATTGCTAGTCAAAGCAGGTTCTCCTGCATCTTTGGCTTGTACAACAAACGAGATCTGACTCACATCTTCACGGTCAAATGTGCGCAGAGCATAGATGGCACCATTAGAGAGGTCAATGGTCACATACGTGGAGATGGAACTTCCATGGATGGAGTTCTCCAAGATGGAGTAGCTCACCTGTCCATTAGCATCCAGATCAGGATCAGTGGCCATGATGGACGTCAAATATGCTCCTGGGGCGTTGTTCTCTGATTTGAAGATCTCATATCGTCCCTTCTCAAAACGTGGTGGGTTGTCATTTTCATCCGTGACGTGCACAGTAAAATGTTTAACAGTGGAGAGACTGGGAGCTCCCCGGTCCTCTGCCACCACAGTCAGGCTGAACTCTGATCTTTTCTCTCTGTCCAAAGACACGTTGGTCAAAATCATGTAGTTGTTCTCGTATTTCTTCTGAAGTTTAAAATACCCCTGACCGTGAAGTTTACATTCTACTTCTCCATTCAGTCCCGAGTCCAAATCCTCCACCCTCACAAACGCTACAAACGTGTCAAGTGGAGATGACTCGGATATATAAGCTGCATCTCCATTCCCCTGGGTGGACATGAGATCGATGTTGATGTCTGGCTTGTTGTCATTCACATCGACCACTTTGACCAAGATCTTGCAGTGAGCAGGCATGGAGTTTGGACCCATGTCCTGAGCCTGCACATCAATGTCATAAGAGTTCAGTGTCTCATAGTCCACTCGCCTGACAAGGGTCAGGTGACCGCTGTCAGGATTAATTTTGAAGGTCTCCATGATTTTGGGAGAAACGTGGCTGCTGAAGGAATAGACGATTTTGGCGTTTGCGCCTTCATCCGCGTCTGTGGCGTTCAGGTCAATGAGCAGAGTGCCAACAGGTGAGTTTTCAGGCAGGTTGATCACATATGAGGACTTGTCAAAGACAGGGCTGTTGTCGTTTGAGTCTGCCACATTGATTTTGAGGAGGGTCGAACCTGTTCTCGGGGGAACGCCCCTGTCGGAGGCTGTGTACTGAAGTTCGTAACTGGAGCGCACCTCCCGATCCAGCTCCCTGAGCACCACCAGCTCCGCGTATTTAACCCCGTCACTTCTGGACTGAATGTCGATTTTGAAGAAGTTGCTGGGCTCTAGTGCGTACGTGTACAGCGAGTTCTCACCGACATCGGGGTCTGTGGCGCTGTCCAGGGGAATGCGCGCTCCCACCGCCGCGCTCTCGGAGATCTCGATGGGGATGACGGCGCGTGCGAACTGGGGCGCGTTGTCGTTGATGTCCAGCACTTCCACTTCGACGTGAAACAGCTGGAGATGCTCCGTGGGGAGAGTCAGCACGTCGAACTGAATGAAGCAGTTCAGATTCTTCTCACAGAGTTTCTCGCGGTCGATTTTGGTCCTGACGCTGATTTCTCCGTCCTGCTCGCGCACAGCAAGAAGATTCGAGTTCCCCCGTTGCATGGCTCTGAAGCGGAGGGACACTGAGCTGGGAAGTTTGGCCAAGACATCCGCGACATCGTCTTTTAAACGTGCAATGACCGTGCCAATCTTTTGCTCCTCGTAAATCTGATACTTCAGAGTCTTACCGGTGGCGTGCGGAGCCGCGAGCACCACAACACTCACAACTGCCAACATTCGTGTTGGACAGAGACCCGTCATTTTGTTTTCTGTCTGGATTCCCTTGAGACAAATAAAATAATAAATAGCTTCAGAACGAGTACAAGTCAGTCCAGTTTTAACTTCCTAAGCTCCGTCATACATCAGCTGAACACAGACAAAACTCCAAAAGAAAGAAGGAAAAAAAAAACAACGTTGGTTTTGCAGACGTCCCTTAAAAAACATGAAATTGGTTGTTTTTAATGTCCTCCTTTATGCGCGCGTCCAGTGTGAGGGAACTGGGAGCCGCTGGAACCAGTGCGCCTGCCTCCCTCTCCGCTCTGCGTCTGCCGTGCGCTCTGCTCCCTCTCTCCGTCTGTGTCTCTGCACACAGACTTGTCCAAAAGAACCCGCCTCAAAAATACTAGCTGTACATCAGCTCCAGCCTCCAACCCCCCCTTCAGCCCCCCCGCTAACTCCCCCACATGCCGGTAAAGACAAACGCTTCTTAAATAAAAAGCTGGGCTGGTGGCCCACTTGAAATCCGAACGAAAAGAAGACGGAGGCGTAACAGAGGGGGGGGGGGGGGGGGGGAGAAAGGGGGGGGGGGGGGGGGGGGTCACCCGGCAGTACGGGGGTGGGGGGAACAACCCCGCCTTGCGGGGTTCGTTCTTACAACTTTTCACAGTAACAACCTCGCAGGGGGGAGAAGACAACACCCAATCAGAGAACATTCAATCAAAGAGCGCGCCTTGTTTTCACCGAACTGTCCGTTTCAGACACGCAGGCACAAACACTTTAAATCCTCATTAAAGACTGTTTATTATTATTATTATTATTATTATTATTATTGTCAATGCTGTTACCAGATACATTTCAAACCCTAAAGTTCAGCATTAACAAGCAGCTTTAAGTCACTCCTGAAGAACTCGAGCTCTCCAGTTTCTGCTGCACCTAGTCTTTTATTTCGTTTGAAGTGGCAGCTGACTGCCCCCATCTTCACGCGCTGCCCCATCTTCACGCGCGGGCACTTTGGAGTGAAGAAGTGAAGGATATCTCTCACATGCGCCTCATCTGCAGAGGTCTGCGCGTGAGAGTACAAACTGGCTAAGCTGTGTGGAGAATCGTGTTGAAAGGGAGCCGGACTCTAATGAATGCCGTTAAAGAGTCGGTCACGCCGAGGAACAGCTCCGTCTCCGCGTGCGCGAATCTGTTCAGCATCACTTCAAACTCCAAGCAGGATGGAGTTTTTGATAACGAGCACAGCAGCTGAAAAACTTAGCACAGTTCAATCATCATCATTAGCTCACCAGAAGAAAAAAAAAAAAAGGTTCAATTCGCCTGAATGCCCACGCACGCACGCACGCGAACCAGGAGACGTTTAATAAATGTGCATACCAGGGATTGAGCATTCTGGACACCATCTGGCGCGGTTTGTTTGGCACCAGAACCCTGAGATCACAGCCGACCAAACAGAACTCCAGCAGAGCCCCACACACCACCTCCACCCCCCCAGCCCTGACTGGGTGGAAATGAGCGGTCATGGGGGGATTGCATGGACCAAACAGCTTTTCAACATCCATTCACACATTTCGCCCTGCATGGTTGCCCCAGTGCGCGTCAAACATGGAGACAAATATTCTTAAATGAGACTTTTTTTTAACAGTAAGTTAAATTATTAACTAAAACAGGTTGCCAAGACAAAACTAAATAAATAAATAAACACTTTTATGTATGTCCTGCACTGATTTTGAATTGGCTCAACCTTTTTTTTTTTTTTTTTTTTTTTTCTCAACTCTTTCAATTTTTTACTTTCCCAACAATGACAGTTAGGATAAACTTAGAATTTGCAAAACAAATGAATAATTTACAAACAGCTGCTGATCCCACAGCATGAGACTTTCTATAAAACATCATTTTAAGACTTAATGATGTTATCCGTTTGCGCCAGGTTTTTCAGTGTTAATGCATCTGCACATCCCCTAAAGCTTTTCTTGTGCCATGTCCGAGAACAAAAGCTTATTAAATATTCCAAACGTGCATGGACACCAACCAGAAGCTCCCCCTTTTGAACCCAGGGCCTTAAATTTGCAGAAAACCTTTATTCCCTCCCCGTATGTCTATTCATCGTCTGAGCCATGTCTGTAAAATGTTTGCATTCACTCCTCTTTTGCACATCTTTGGTATTTAAACAGGTTTGATACGGGCACCCAACATTTCCATAGCTCCAAATGCTCACAATGCAGTAATGCAATTACTCCCTGCGTCCCAGAGAAGCTAATCACATTTGGAGAACAAAGTCAGCGCAGGAGTTTATGGAAGGAGCGAGGAGAAGAAAAGGACGACGTTTGCAGAGGTTGTGGGTGCACGGGGGTCTTAAACACTGCAGAATGCAACAATTAATGCATAGAGGGGGTAGACTATAATCAAAGTAAAAGCAGATGGAGGCCTAATACGTTTAGCCACGCTAGATAACCATTGGAGCCGAGCAACCATTTTGGGGCTTAAGGGAAACCAGTAATTGGGATAAATATTCCTCCTCTGCAGCAGGTGCAAGGACACCATGTACTTAGGTTTGGTAAATTTTTGTTTAACTTCTCCTGCTTCCAGCTTCCCATACATAATTTTATCGATCCATGGGTGGCTCTGAGGCCCATAGCAGTCTGCACGAATGCATGCAATCAGCACAAACAAACAAACTGCCTTCTCTTCATTATGAGGTGTCCAACAATTGCCTCTGCACGTCCGGAGCTTGTAGTCGTTAAGTCAGGGCACAAATTAAACACGTGTCTCTGGCATTCATTAAGAACATGTTTCAGTGTCCATCACCACCGCACCACTGTGCCGCGATAAGTTTTGGCAAGTGGAGTGGCCGTGAAAACAAACGTGGCCCTGGACTGCGGTTCAGCGTGGAGCGAGCGCTGATTGT